CACCGCCGGTGAGCCTACTCGACCTCTCGCCCTCTCTCTTTGTACCAGAGCTCTCCTTGATTTCCCATTTTTTATTTTTATTTGTAATTTCTTATTATTTTTATTTTTTGTTTCTCAGTCGTTGGTTTTGGGAAGAAGAGAGGACCCAACTCGTCTGAGAAGTAGAGAAAAAGACGCGGATGGAAAGGGTGAAGCCCTTTTTTTTTGCAGTTTTCGGTTTGGGAAATTTGTTTTCGGATGTCTTTGTTTGATCGTTCTATGTTTTGTTGATTTTCCCCGTTTGATTCGGATACTCAGAAGAGCGTCTTATGTAGCTGAATTTTTTAGATGACACATTTACCGGTTCTTGGTTGTTCTACTCTTCTATTATAATGACCGATTAATCGTTAATAGTTATCGCGGTATATTGATTTTTATATAATTATTCACATAAGTTGGTTCTATTGAATAAAAAGGTGGGCACAAAAGAAAATGTATTATTATTATTATTATTATTATTATTATTATTATTATTATTATTATTATTTCTCTTTGGGCTTGTTTGGATTTGTAGGGGGTGAATGGAAGTTAAGGGCTTGTTTGGATTGAGGGGAATGAGGGTGAAGGGAAGTTAGGGAACCATTCACCTCCATTCATCTTGTTTGGGAACACCTAGGAGGTGAAGTTAATTCACCCTAGTTCCCCTTGGTTCACCCCCTAATAATATAAAATTTGTTACCCCCAAATTAGGGTTTAACCAAGGAGAAGTGAACTCCCTTCCCTTTCATTCACTTCTCTCAGTTTTCCTTAACTTCCTTTCATCCCCTACAAATCCAAACAGACCCTAAGGGAAACTGAGAGAAGGGAAGGGAAGGGAAGGGAGTTCCCTTCTCCTTGGTTACACCCCAATTTGGGGGGTAACAAATTTTATACTATTAGGGTGTGAATCAATGGGAACTAGGGTGAATTAACTTCACCTCCTAAGTGTTCCCAAACAAAGTGAATGGAGGTGAATGGTTCCTCTAACTTCCCTTCACCCTCATTCCTCTCAATCCAAACAAGCCCTTTACCACAACGCTCCACATATGGGCTGTTTCGTTCGCTAAAAAACATGGAAAGTAAAGAAAAGGAAGCATATTGTTTCGTAATTGGATATTTTTTTGTGTTTGGTGCACTTCTTAGAAGTAAAAAGAAGATGAGTTACCACCACCATATTATTGGATGATGTGAGTCATTTTTAAAGAAAACTTATTTTGAGGGTTTTTTCTTGTGTTTGGTTGGCTAAAAAAAAATAAGGAAAAGACTTATAAGGCGTGTTTGGTTTATTCTTAAAACTAAGAAAATAGATGAGATGGGTTGTTATTATATTATTGGATGATGTGACATATACATAAAAAAATCAATTTCCTTTATTTTTGAAGGAAATGGATGGAAGAAATTTTTTAACATCATATTATTGGATGATGTGAGTAATTTTTAAAGATGGTAGTAGTTGAGATGAGGTGATGTGAGTTAGATGAGTTGATTGATGTGACTCATTTCTTATGTTTAGTTTATTTTTAAAAGTAAGAAATGAGATGAGATGAGTTGTCATCGTATTATTGGTTGATGTGTGAGATTTTTAAGGATGGAAAATGATGGAAACCAAATTTTATTGATTTTCATGTTTTTTTTTTCTTTTTCTAGGTTTTAGGAAACTAACCAAACAACCCTGTAAACTTCATTATTTAGCCACACCATACTCAACATTCAACTCAACCCTCGTGACCTTCTTATGTAGAAAGGATGCCTACTCTTGTTTCTAGAGTCTAGACCAAAAAAAAAAAAAAATGTTGCCGTACCAACCACAAGTCGTTCGCCAACAAAAAATAATATGCTATTTCAAACTTGCAATATTCCTCATCAATAAACTTTTCTTCCTATCATACCATGTTGCGCTTTGTAACTTTTCAATCGTGGTAGAATTGAACGTCTTTATGGCTATTGTCATAAGTGCATCGGTCAACAAAGAAATGCTATGTTGTGCATACGAAGGAAAAGATTCGAAAGATCCAACTATGTATGACGAAGGTTGTCAATATAATGGAGTATACAAGCAATTGAGAAGTGACGATAGCTAACTATTTGAGCTTGCCTATCACCTCTATTGGGAGAAAATACTTCTCAGAGTGAACTAAGTGTTCCTTGTTCTGAATTTCGACTTATAATATGGTAATTAGTGTCCTACCGTACTGACAGTCATTATACAAGGCGCGTCCTAGAATCTGCAGGGTGCAAGACCCTTGAACATTGACTTCTCCATCATGAGGTGTCATAATGTCGATGCTCGTACATCAAAAATAGGCGTCTCATTCTTCTGGATTTTATCTATGTATAGCGATTCTGTGGACATTACATAGATAGATTAAACCTTCTGTCAACATTACATAGATATGTTAAACCTGTCGTACACTGAGCCTGTTAGAGGTATTTGTTCGTGAATGTTGAAGTTTGTGCATAGTCCGCCATTGTAGAGTTCGGGGATGAGACTTGCATGGATATTCTAAAAGATTATGACATCATGATGGCAGATCTAACAAACACTATTATTGAACTCAAGAAGTTGAACTGCAACAACTATAGTTACTGGGAGATCTGCATAAAGTTTATTTGCGGTAAGCACCTCTAACCGAGAAGGTAAGCACCTCTAACCGAGAAAATACAACTTGAAGTATAACGCCAAATTAGCCAGTCTCTGTTGGTCAATGAGCCGAGGGAATTGTCTTGATCTTTTTCAGCTTCATTCGGCCAAAAAATCGAGTCGATTAGAGCTTTGTCCCATCGAGTACTATTCGATAAAACAAGGGCTATCGTAGAAGTTGATCGCACTGGCAGGTTCTGTATCTTGAATTGATCATTTATCTTTGATGCCCTCTCATATTTCTCTGGGATTGCCTGCACTGTCTTGCATTCACTCATTTTGCTTGGCCTCAAAAATTAATAGGCTATCATCTGTGAAGAATAAGTGTAAGCTAGGAGGGCAGCCCACCCCAACACTCCATGAATTGATTCTCTTCTTCGGTGGCACGTAGGAGGGTTGTTAATCCTTCTGCATAGGGCAAAAATATAGATAAAGGGACAACAGATCCCCGGATCACCCTGTGGTAATCCTCTCTCCGATTTGAAATGTCCCATTCGTTGTCCATTCACAAGGAGTTTGGAAGATATTGTGGAAACGCGCGTCATACTCAGCCGTATCCATTTTTCGTCGAAACGCATGTGATACATGATTTGTTCGAGACGTATCCATTCTACTCTGTCATAGGCTTTTTCGTCGAAACCCATGTGATACATGATTTGTTCGAGACGTATCCATTCTACTCTGTCATAGGCTTTATTCATATCGAGTTTTAAGGCTACATGACCATTTGTCGCTCCTCCCTTACACTTCAAAAAAAAAAAAAAAAGATTCAACTCAAAAGCAATAATGTATATAGAGCTTCATTGCTTTTTCAGTTGAGACAAATGTTTTCTGCATTTTAATCTGGACGAACACCATCGATCTTTAGAGCATTGTTGAGTTCTTAAAGTGAGCAAGGGGCACGTGTTCAACTATAAACAGGAAGAATAAGCTAGCAGCAAAGAGGCAGGTACTCAAAGAAACATATCTTGAATGAAAGCGAACCTTCCTCTGATGAAGGCAATTGATTTTTCCGACTCTAGCACAGTAGTCTTGAAAAGCTATGGAAAATGTATTTACTCTTTTGTTTGTGCACATTTTTGTTATTTTGGCTTGGACAGGAGAAAGGGTTATGGCTGCACTCCTTATTTGATAAAGTTCAATCATGAAAATGCTCTGTTAACTGGAAAAAAAAAAACTTAAGATCACAGATTTTTCCAGCATTATATTCACTCGGCAAAGGTGATCACTAGGCAACCATATTCATATATTATCACCCCACACTCCCCCCCCCCCCCCCCCGCCCCCCCCCCCCCCCCCCCCCCCCCCCCACCCCCCCCCCCCCCCCCCCCCCCAAAAACAAAAAAAAAAAAAAAAGACGCGAGGGAGAGAATTAAACCGTAAATCATTAGTACAAAGAGAATATAATAAATTAGAAGAGAACACCTTCACTCTTCTCTTTTCTTCTTTCCTCATCTGAATCATCATTATCATCATCATCAACATCATTATAAGCGAACAGAAAGTCCACCATGTTTTACTCTACCATTGCAGAAAATTCATGCAACTAACACTTCAAGGGTAACGCTAATTTGTGCTATGTTTTGTGACTTTTAATGCTACACTGTTATAATGTTGGATTAGAATGGTGACATGATCTTTGTATTTTTTTGGTCAATTTGATAGTAGACCCTCCTAAACCTGTTCCAGACTGAAATTTTGAATACCGTACCTCCAACATCCTCTAAACAAACTGCACAAGCATAAATAGCGAAAACAAATGACTCTGAAAGACTTAAAAGCCTTCCCACCAGCTCGAAAGGGATCTGAAGTAATCCCTGTCTTTAATGACCACTCAGCGGCTCTCCACAGCGAACCAAAAAATCATGCAAACTTGAACCTCCAATATCAAAAAAGAGCAGCCTACAGCAGTGACAAGAGATAAACAGAGCAGCCTAGAGAAAAGTTAACACAACTGTGCAACTAATAAACACTTCCATATGCCAAAATATAATAGCAGAAATTCAGAAATTCGACAAAGGTGGTTCAGCTTACACTGAATACATAACACGCCACAAAGTGTTCCTGAACTTGTTTCTCCCATAATAACAATCAAGATGCACACATGTCAAACAAGAAAGGTGCAGCACTCTTAGGAATTCATACGATCACCCAAGGGTTTTTTTTTTCGTGTTAATGGGTAAGCTTGAAATACAGTATTAAAAGAATTGCCAGCACGAGGGCGATGATGACTGAACCTATGATCCATTTGTTCCTGTCCAGTCTTTTGGACATGGCTGTCAGGATCTTTCTGCTCTTGCCAATGTTATCATCAACCCCATGCAGCTGCAAGTCAAACAAAACATAATTCAACAAACATGCCAGTTTCACGAATATGACAGCAAATAATCAATCACAATTCCTCTTATTACAGAAATCTATAGAAGAGAGAAAAGATATAACCCACTTCTCAAGCCAATATATTGTCTGGAATCAGAAAGACTGAAAGGAACACTTCAGGCCTCAAAATACAATTTCTCAGCTTATATTCTCAGCTCCACTCTGAGGGATAGCGAAATCCCAGTTTTTGACTAAATGGGAGTTCATATATTAACCATTGTTCTATAAATAGAACAGGAGTATTCACTGAAAACTGCATCTATAAAGACCTTATGTTGATTAATAGATTGATATTACCATATTTGTATCATTTTTTTCCTCGTTTTTACTTTTTCTTTGGGAGGCCGAATCAGACACAAATCTTCTCTGATACTTAAACTGAGTTTGATTCGGATCTATCAAAATTTTAACCAATATTGATTACAATTCAGATGTTAACCATTATGACCCAGTTGAGATGCTGCTGACAGTAACCTTTACCAAATCTAACAGACCTACCAGTAAAGTGCCCGGGGTGAAACGTAGCGCCTGAGGTGAAATGAAGTGCCTGGATGAAGTTATGGCCATTGACCTCCCAATAATCATTTGATAGAGTACGACTAGAGAACAAAGACATCCATGTACTTAATTGCTTAACCTCAAGTAATTTGATGGTCTATTATTAAGGTTTCGAATTTCAATATCAGTGCAGTCTGAGAAATAAGATTGATAGTGAACTTTTGTATGGTCTTACCACATGATCATCAGGGAGCATACTACTTATAATATAAATTTTATAAGCAGAAGTTCCGACTTCAGAAGAGTAACCCCTGAAGTCCAAGACCCAAACTACTACTTCAAAGATACAAAATTCATCATTAAAAACCACTAGCAAGATATTGTCTCATTTTTATTCTTTCCGTGATTAAGATGATTTTAAATCCAACTGTTAACACACTTTAAACTAAGGACTAGTTTAATCGCAAAAATGAAAAGCTCAAACATCACGATTTTTTCCCCTCCATTTTTTGATTTTCTTGAAAATGTTTGGGATTGGATAACAGTCCATCAACTTGGTGAAACCCTTCAATATTTCAGGTTTCAAGATGCTGCGAGGACACAAAAATAAAAAGAAACTTTACCTACCAAGAAGTTGACCATTTTCATGTCAATTAGTATACATGAGATATTATGGCATTGAGAAACATACTGTGTTATGAGCATGCAAGAGTGACTGACGTTGTTGATGCAAATCCTGAAGAATTGAAACACCCAACTCTTCTGTCTCCAGCATGGTTCTTCTACTTTCCTTAATTCTTTCACTAGACTGGTTCAATCTGTCAGTTGACATTATAAGTCTTCCCTTTTGATCTGCAGAAACCTGCACGTTGAACTGGTAAATTATACACGAAGGAATCAGAATGGAAGAGAGTCAACCACTAGAGTTAGCTTTACAGCTATTTCCAAACTCTCATAAATGGATTGAAGCCTTAATTTCTGAAATATTCACCAAGTAATAGCACCAGTGTAGAAAGCACTAAAAAATTCTAAAAGCACGAACAATATGAGATTTAATTTACTTTTAAAAGCTAATAATAAGATTGCACAAACAAATGCAATATTCTGTTCAATACAACATTAGTGCCTGACAGCATCATGGGATTAAATCCCTACATGTTCAAAAGAGATGAAAACACACCAAATGAAACACACTATATTTCTCATGACGATAGCCATATTTACAAAGGTTTAGTGCAATTCTGGCATATAAGTATTGTTTATGACAACAAAATTACAAAATATAGTCAATTATCTCACATGGTACTATCACTGTGTGTGCGCACGTGTTAATTACAGGTTGTAAATTATGCGTGCAAGGACATCAACGTCAGGAAAAGAACATCGAAGTATACAAAAACCAAACCAAAAAGACAGCAAACCTTTAGGCCAAATATTTGAATCCATCTGCAGGAGTACTTTTCCTCAACAATACGATGGACCATCTTTTCTATCAAATTAGCTAGGTATCACATACTTTCTACAGCATACATTTAGCACTGACATATTATTCAAAATAATAATTAGAAGATGTACATTATGCATGCATGGACATCGAAATCAGGGAGTGAACATCAGAAGTATACAAGAACTAGACCATAAAGATAAGAAGCCTTTAGGCCAAATATTTGAATTCATCTATAGAATAACTTTTCCTCAACACTACGATGGACCATCTTTCTATCAAATTAGCTACGCATCACATCCTTTTTACTGCCTTGATCCATGTTCCCTAAGGTCTCTCTCTCTAATCCCTCAACTAAGTCAAAACATCAGCTTCTCTAATCCACAAATCTTTTCCTACACAAGGTCAAGCAATCTCAATTTTCCTACATCTTATACTTGACTGATGTCACTAGTGTCTTATATAAGACACTCATTTGTCATCCTGTCTTTGAGCATCTTGTTAGCCATCCACCTTGACATTTTCATTTCACCTAAGCCCCTCATAATGTAGATGATTTAGGATTATAGATTTTATATAAGGAAATACTTTATCAAGTAACACACTAAATTTTTTATTTCTGCTTTTTGACAGAGAAAAGAAATAACTCAAGTGAACAAATTTTGAGCCTTCTAAACTAATTAGTAATTACTATGAAAGAGAACAAAAACCCTGATCATTCTTCAATCTTCATGTCTGCCTATCATAAATATGTCTTAAGAACTGGATAAACCTCCTGATTAAGACAAAAAAATAAAGCCAAAAAGCTCCAAGGGACTTTAATAACTATGATTGCTACACAGGATGATGTGATTCTCAATCCGAAGTATATATGAATATTGTAGTATTTACATATTGTTGTACTTGTCACTATCCCACAACAATGCACGCACATCATACTATTCAGAATAATTGAGTGAAATTATGTTAGAAGTTCCTATCTTAGGATATAAAGCATCTTATGGCAAGTTAATCACAAATGGAACTCATACATACTTAGAAAAATCCCTGCAGGATAATGGATATCAGGTCTTAATATAGATTACTCTTTTTGATATAAGAAAATTCTAGCCCCAAGATGCCCTATTATGCACATAGAATCAAAACTAGAGTCATGGTAAGTTCTCTTCCCCATTCTATGCTAAGAACAGAATCAATCCCTCCATTGTTTTAAAGCAGTCTGGGTGTCCATCTAGCATCTACAGGAACACAGGCCGCTTATGTAGACTGCACTGCATAAAAAACACTGTATTACTTGCTTTGCCATAATAACATATGAAGAGAATGAGCCAAGTCAAAATGGATCAGATCAAAACTCTATATCTGAGTCCACCTTAGGCAAAATGACAAGGATAGAGTTTTGAATATTCGGAAAGAATCATTTCTCTATTGATGCTAAAAAGCACTTACATGTCGAGTAACCACCACCCGAGGAGCCTGGGTGCTTGGACTAGCCTAGAAAGTGTCCAGCGTTTTCTAAAACATTGAATCCCTTCAACCCCTATGACAAACTCAAGAACCACAATTACCCCTATGGCAAACTCACAAAACCATAATTACTCACTAACAAACCCAACAGAAGCATTCTTCACTAGGAGTAGTTGGAGGGCAATGGAAACTCAGTCACTGAAACATGACCTAAACCTTTAAATACGATTTTTCTAACTTGTTCCCGATATCTCATCAAATTTCATTGCAAAATATAAATTGCAAAAATCACTTAAAAGTGCCTCGTTTCAACTCATCTTACATGTATGACCAGTAGTTTAAGATGCCTGGGCCCCATCTGTCACATAAGAAAGTTGTCTAAATGATTTTTTGACTCCAAACATGTCAGCCTGACTAATAAGCTATACTACCAATGTTTAAATCAAACATGTTACATGAGACAACCACAGCATTTAAGCAAAAAAAACAAGAATAATTGATGGCAAATAAGCAGTCAGTAAGCAATATAAAGAGGACACATAGAAAAGGGAAAAACCATAGATGCAAATAAAGTTGCTCGAATACCGCTAGCGTGTCTGCCATCCCAGACTCCAGTAGCTCCTCTCGTGTAGCTTTATTCAAATTAGCCGATGTAATTCTCTTAACCTCAGCTTTCAAGTTGTTCAGATCTGACTTGTACTCCCTTAGCTTTGCAAGCAATCCAGCCTTCACACTTGGCTGCAGACTTCGAGCTTCAAGATCCATCTTCCTAATCTATTCAAAAACAAAAACAACACCACCAATCATTAGTTCTCAATAACACTTCACATCATTGAATCAAAAGGCGGGTCTTTTATTTTTTCAATCAGTACCAATCCTTCAGCATCTTCGACTCCCGATTTAATCTCAGTAATCTTCTGCTTCTTTTGCTCTGCAAATCAAACAGAAATCAGCATGCAATCTGAACAAATTCCACATATTTAGGCTTGATACTGGCACCGAATTCTTACCACCATCGAGATGAGCAGCCGATGTACACTTTCTCGATAGAGAAGCGGAGATCTCGCAGTATTGGCGCTCGTATCCTTGGAAAACCTCGCTCATCGTGGTCAATCGGTACAAATCCTACGAATTATTAATTCTCTTAATTATAATTCCCTGCAGTACATAATTCAAGACCGAAAACCCTAATTTCAATTGCTTTAGCATAAAACTTAGGAAGGAATCCTGCGTATCACATATCTACACCAATCGAAACCCTAATTCTAGTCCTAATCGCGACGGAACCCTAACCGATCGCCAGAAACTAATAGAAAAAATCGAGTTAAAACGAGAAAAAGGTTTGCGATCGAAGGGGAGAATTGATGCTTACGATGATTAGCTCCGCCGATCAACGAAGAGACGAGAGAGTTGGGGGATGAGAAGAGAAGGAGAGAGAGAGAGAGAGAGAGAGAGAGAGAGACGGGTAGTTGTTTATTTTCTCTTTTTTTGCTCGTGTTTGCTGTTCTTTCTTGAACTCTGACCTTGAGACAGCCATTATGTTGATACGTGGGGCCCAAGCAACTTCCGAGCTTGCGCAAAGATTGGACACGAAGCAATAACAGCCGCGGCCCATGTATATGGCCCCTTGTTTAGACGTTGAAATGTCGCATTTGATTTGTTGGGCCATCTGAAAGGTCTACTAAGGTTTTTTTTATCGTACTCATTTTATAAAAGTACGAGTTCAGAAAAATCTTTTAGTAGACAAAAAAACCCTTAAAATTCAACTACTAATCCATTAAGTAAGAGTAAGTTGATAAATTGATGAATTCATATTGAATATACATAGTATGAAGATAAAGATATAGTTTAAATTAAAATTTAAATCTGAATGAAAGAGCAGCTTAAGTAAATTAGACGATTTATTAAATGTCAAATTTACCCCCCCCCCTTTATATGTGATCAATGATCAAGCTGCAAATAATTATTCATGTGCTACATGATTAATAATGCCAAACTACGAACAATTATTCACATGCTATACGATTAACAATTACGCACAACGTAACGATCTTTCATCGACCAAAATTCAAGTAGTTCACGGTACGCTTAGGTTAATTAGAAGATTTATTAAATACCAAATTTACCCCCCTCGCTCTTATATGTGATCAATGATCAAGCTGCAAGCAATTATTCACGTTCTACATGATTAATAATGCTAAACTGCAAACAATTATTCACATGCTATATGATTAATAATTACACACAAAGTAACGATATCTCACCAACTAAAATTGAAGTAGTTCAATGTACTGTATAATTAGTTTTAAAGTTTAATTACACTATTATTATTTATATAGAACTCTATTTACAATTGTTATCCTCTCACATGCAACATCATATACCAATATATATATGCCACGAAATTACAATAATTTCTACAATACTTTTATTTCCTTCTACAGTTATGTGCCTTTGTTATTGGATTATATTAGATTGTTTTAAAGTATTTAAATATATTATACATTTGATCTTTTTCAGATCAAGAAATTACAATAATTTTCACAGCGTTTTCATCTCCTTCAACAAGTATGTGCCTTTATTATTTTCTTCTTATTAGATTAGATTAGATTGTTTACAAATTATGAATTATGAAATTGCAACAACTTTCACAGTACTTTCATCTATTTTCTTCTTATTAGATTAGATTATAATATTTTAAAGTAATTAATTATATTATATGTTTGATTTCTTTTTAGACCACAAAGTTTAATTATACTATTATTATTTAAATAGATACTTTTTGTATAAAAGTCAAAGAGAATCTCACACGTATCTTTGATCTCAATGCCAATTATAATACTTACATTTGAGTTTTTGTTAAAATAAATATCATGTATGGAGTTAATTTATATAATCCTACTTTAATCGGATTAGATAATTTAACATTTGTTCTTTACACCCAAACTCTTCCATAAAACCAAGAGATTTTCAAAATTAATCTTGGGGGTTGCTTGCATTAAAAAAGTTATGTTAGAGGGCACATACAGTCTGTTTTATAGTTTAAGATTGTCAATACATTTTGTCTCTTATGCATATCAATTATGAGTAATAATATAATTTAATTGATCCAAGTATATCCTAATATATTCTAGACTCTTGTCTTGTCTTTTGCTCTTTATCTTGTACAAACTTAGCGATTCTTATTCAATTCCTTTTTTTTTCTTTGTAAAAATTATGTCAATGCCCCAAAAGTAAAACATTCGTGTGCTGCAACCCCTTCACTTTTTTCCCATATGGTTCAGCCCCAAGAAATATCACATCATGTGCTGTAGCTTTTTTCATGTAATTATCATGCCAACTAAGCACAAAGAGAGGGAAACAAATATAAAAGCCCAAAATACCCTTATTTCCTCCTCCCTCTTCATTCTCTCCAGATTTATCATGTTAGGTCCAGTTTGATTCATGTTAAGTCTAATTTAATTCATTTTAAGTCTAATTTAAATTATGTTAAGTCTAATTCAACTTGTTTTAGGTCTAAAAATAAGTTGAATTAGAGTTAACACAAATCATGTTAAGTCTAATTTTAACATGTTTTAAGTCTAATTTTATGTTAAGTCCAATTTAATTCATATTAAGTCCAGTGATTCATGTTAAGTCTAATTTAATTCCTTTCAAGTCTAATTTAAATCATGTTATGTCTAATTTAACTTATTTTAAGTCTAAAAATAAGTTGAATTAGACTTAACATGAATCATGTTAAGTCTATTTCAACTTATTTTAAGTCTAATTTCATGTTAAGTCCAATTTTACTTCATGTTAAGCTAATTTGATTCATGTTAAATCTAATTTAATTCATTTTAAGTCTAATTTTAATCCATTTTAGTGTTAAGTCCAGTTTAGTTCATGTTAAGTCCAGTTTGGTTCATGTTAAGTCCAGTTTGATTCGTGTTAAATCCAGTTTGGTTAGTGTTAAGTCCAGTTTGGTTCGTGTTAAGTCCAGTTTAAATAATTTTAAGTCTAATTTAAATCTTGTTAAGTCTAATTTGAATCATTTTAAGTCTAATTTAAATTGGACTTAACATAAATTTAGACTTAAATTAAAATAAAATAGATTAACATGGATTATATGTTAAGTCCAATTCGGTTCATGTTAAGTCCAATTTAAATCATGTTAAGTCTAATTCAACTTGTTTTAAGTCAAATTTCATGTTAAATCTAATTTAGTTCATGTTAAGTCTAATTTAATTTCTTTTAAGTCTAATTTAAATAATGTTATGTCTAATTCAACTTGTCTCAAGTCTAAAAATAAGTTGAATTAGACTTAACATGAATCACGTTAAGTCTAATTCAACTTGTTTTAAGTTTAATTTCATATTAAGTCCAATTTGGTTCATGTTAAGTCTAATTCGGTTCATATTAAGTTTAATTTAATTCATTTAAGTCTAATTTATATCATGTTATGTCTAATTTAACTTATTTTAAGTCTAATTTCAATCATGTTAAATTCCTTTTAAGTCTAATTTAAATCATGTTAAGGTCTAATTTCAATCATGTTAAATTCCTTTTAAGTCTAATTTAAATCATGTTAAGTCTAATTCAACTTTTTAAAGTCTAATTTCATGTTTAAATTCCTTTTAAGTCTAATTTAAATCATGTTAAGTCTAATTCAACTTTTTAAAGTCTAATTTCATGTCAAGTCCAATTAAATTAGACTTAAAATAACTTGAATTAGACATAACATGATTTAAATTAGACTTAAAAAGAATTAAATTAAACTTAACATGAATTAAATGGACTTAACATGAAATTGACTTAAAACAAGTTGAATTAGACTTACATGAATTAAATTAGATTTAAAACAAGTTGAATTAGATATAACACGATTGAAATTAGATTTAAAAGGAATTAAATTAAATTTAACATGAATTAAATTAAACTTAACATGAAATTAGACTTTCATGTTAAGTCTAATTCAACTTGATTTTAAACTTAACATGAAAAAATAAAGGAGATAAGAGCATTTGGGGTTTTTTATTTTTATTCTCTCTCTATGCTTAGTTGACAGGTAATAATTGCTAAATAAGGGCTACAGAACATAGATCTCCAATTTAAAGGCTAAAACACATGGGAAAAAGTCAAAGGGGTTGCAGCACATGAAGTTTTTACTTTTGGGGCACATGAAGTTTTTACTTTTGGGGCATTGACACATTTTCCTCTTCTTTTTTGTCCATTGACATTGTCTTTTGTTCTTCATTATGTACAAACTCATTTCATGGATTAAGGTTATGATTTTCAAGAGGGGAGCAGAAAACAAATGTGTTGATTTTGGTGTTGGACTTTATTATTTGAAGAGATTAATTTCAAGAAATCCAACTCCAATCTGATATCACAATTGATGTAGATGATGAAGACACTACTCTAGAATTGCTCAGGAAAAAGATAAAGGTGGAAAAAGATTGATCTTGAGTCGATTAAAATGCAAAATAAAAAGAATAAATGATAATTTTTTTTGAACATTTTATATTATAACTTAATTTTTGAGTAAAATTAGGAATTTTTAGAAGAAATTTTCATACAAAAATTTAGTATTTTTGTATGCTTATGTGATTGCTTTTATCACATAAAACTATACTATATTTACCATTAATCTTTAGTTTTTATTATTTTAAGTCTATCAAATAATGTAGGCTAGTACTTTTTTTATGTTTGCTTTTGAGATTGTTTATTATAAAACATGAGCTTATAATGTTGAAAAGTGCAGTGCAAATCTATTTTCAATGCAATAAAAAATGTTATTTTTTTATTGCTAGAACTATAGTTCACAATAATATTATTATTCATCCCTGACTCCATACTATAGCTTGGGATTAGTAGAGTTTAGAATATGATATGTAGTATCAATTTAACTAATTTTCTTTTACTATTCTGCTTGAAGATATTATTATGTAAACTGATATCTTTTTCTTAGAAAATCAATTATGATATCCCAGTTAAGTATATTGATCCCAATTTAGCACAAAAATCCATTACATTAATTTTTTATAATGTTTAAATAAAAATTATAGCAAATCTAATAATTAAAATGAATTTGACTTACTTATAGTAATAAAATAAAAAATAAATTATTTTTATATTTAACCACGTGCATTGCACGTGCATAAAAACTAGTTTAAAGAAAATATACGACGGGATGGAGGAAAACAATCTACATCTTCAATAGCACTTAACATCCCTCAGGAGTCGGGTCTCACACGCATTCATGAGGAAGAGGAAAGAGAAGTATTCATTTGCAATTTATCATTCTCAAAATTACTGTCCGCAACAATGAACTACAGAGGCTGTAAGTTCAAAACAATGACACTAGTGGGGTCTATGTGCAATTAACCCTAGAATTTTCATAATAGGGCATCACAATCTTGTCCACAGGTAGCCTTCCCCTCCATCAGCATAACCTGTTGTGTCAAAACATGGCTGAAGCTTTGCATTTGCTGCTTTGCGC